TCCTTCCCCAGCTCATTTTACAGATAAGCAAGTTGAGGCAAACAGGTGTCCAGGGACACACAGCTAGTAAGTGTCTGAGGCCAAATTAGAATTCAGATCTTCCTGACTCCAGGCCTGGTGCTCTATCCACTGTGCCACCTAGCTGCTCCTAACTCTTCCCAGCTTAGACATTACAGCTCAAACCCTTTATCCTAGCATTCAATATTTTCTATTGCCTGGGCTCAACCTTCTTCTTTCCAGCCTTCCTCTCACCTTCCTCCACTTACTAAGACAAACTCCACACCAGGTATGAGAATGTATTTTGCACTCCCCAAATAAATCTTGTGCTTCCCTTCCTCTGAGTCTTTGTTCACAAGGTTCCCTCAGCCTTACCTACCCTTCCCTTTATTTCCATCTGTAAAAATCTGACCTATCATTCAAGGCACCTGCCAAATGCCATTGCCCTAATTAGAAGAAAGTATTTGGTTTTAAAAATAATTTTTTAGAATAATTTTTGTCTCTTCTGTCCACTGCCCCCATTGAAGAATAAAAGTAAAACCTGTGTGATAATTATCCATTGTCCAGCTAAACACATCACTCTATTGATTGAGTCCAAAAACGTACGCATTTGAAATCCATCATCTCTTTAACAGGTGAGTAGCTTGTTTCATCTTCAGTCCTCAGACCGCTTTAGCTTCCAGATCTTTTGCAGTCCAAAGTAGCTTATATATGTGTGTGTGTGTGTGTGTGTGTGTATGTCTGTGTGCAAATATATATGCCCCCCTTTTTAAAATTTCTTCTATCTATTTGGAGTATAGACCTACTAATGGTATGCTTGGAACAAAAGGTATACATGGCTTAGCAAGTATTTGGTCATACATACAAATTGCTTTCCAGAATAGCTAGACTAATTTCTATCAATAATGTATTAATGTACCTATTTTCCCACAACTAGGGTAACTTTAGAGCAGCTAGGTGGAACAATGTATAGAATACAAGGCCTGGAATCAGGAAGACTCATTGTCATGAATCCAAATCTGGCCTCAGACACTTACTAGCTGTGTGACCCTAGGAAAGTCACTTAACCTTGTTTGCCTCGGTTTCCTGATCTTTCAACCGAGCTGGAGAAGGAAATGGCAAACCACTCTGTGCTAAGAAAACCCCAAATGGAGTCATGAAGAGTCTGAAATGACTGAACAATAATTGCATTGTTTGTGGTTTTCCTTTTTTGTTTGTCATGTTTATTCAAATATTTGTTGACTTTCCACTATGAGCCAGGCACTCATGTGTATCTGATCCCTGTTTGGAGGATGGAATTTCCCATTCTGTGCTCTCCCATCACTACTGCTCTACTTCTCTTGTGTCAGGACCCATCATGATGAAGATGCTGCTGCTGGCAATGAAGGGATTAAAGCTTCATTCCCATATTTCATTTTTCCCTTCATTTCCTGCATTGTAGATTGTGGCTAGAATCTGTGCTGCATGGATACAAATTAGCCTCAGGAAAAATGGTTAAACCATGGAAAGATAATCTGTCACTCTTTTGCATCTTCTGTTCTAAATGCCTTGAGTTGTGAGCCTTCAGTCTCTACCTTTGTTTGATTGATGACCCTAAAATTTGTAAAGTTAGTAAATTCCACAAAGGAAAACATTCCTAGGCCAGGTTCATTCCCATGCTAACACAGAACCATTGAATTTCAAAGATGGAGAGGATCTCAAAGCCTTTTCATTTAATCCATACCCCCAAAAGAATCCTAGCTTAATCTACCTGAGAGCTAAGTTGTCTGTCCAGCATCTATTCAGAGACAGCCAAGTAGTCAGCACCCATCTCCTCTCCAACTAACCCCCCTCTCACTGTTAGTGCCCTTTCCCCAACATAAATCCAATACTAGCTTCTTTGCTTCCTCCCCCCATGGCTCTGAGCAGCTCTGCCTTTTCTCTGGTGTTAGTTATCCTTGACATTTACCCCAATCCCAAGCAAAGGTCTGATCCTCCTTTTTCTCCCAATGTAGTTTACAAAAACAAACAAACAAACCTTTGGTGGCACTTAGCTCCCCTCACCAACCTCTCTTGTTCTGGGCTTCAATATTCCCTACATATTTTTGATAGCACTGTGTCCTATTCATATTGTCTCTGCTATCCAGACTTGCTTCCATACCCTGAACATTTCTTTTGAAAATTTCAATAAATAAACAAACACTTATTAAACACCTATTATGTACCAGGGACTCTGCTAAGCACTGGGGATGGCAAAAAAAAATGGTAACTGCCCTCAAGTAGCTTAAAATCTAAAGGGGGAGACAATATGTAAACAAGTATATACAAAGTAAGCTATTTATAGGAGAAAGAAAATTATTAAGAGAGGGAAGGTACTAAAATTAAAAAAGGTAAGGAAGGCTTCCTTTAGAAGCTGGGATTATTGAAGGTGAGATTAAAGAAGGCAATGGAGGTGAATAGTAAGAGTGGAGAAGGGAGAGTGTTGCAGGCATAGGGGAACAGCCAGAGAAAATGCCCAGAGCATGAGATGGAAGATCTTGTTCGTGGAAAAGCCAGGAGGCCAGTGTCATTGGATTGAAAAATTCTTTTTGAAGAATAAGTCATAAGACTGGAAAGGTAGGAGGGGGCTATGTTATGAAAGGGCTTTGAAATAAGAGAATTCCATGTGCATCCACATCATTCTTTTCAAATAAATCCCATCTTTTGTCCTTCCTGGAACTATTTCCCTTTATTTCTTCAAAATTTCATTCTTGAGCATCACCCATCCTTCCTAGACTCACTTCCCTTGAGGTGTCATAGTCCATGGGGCCTATCTATCTTTCCTCTGAATTCTTTGAAGTCTGCCCTCCAAAAATTCATGGTTCCTATCATAATACGCCCAGATGTCTTATTCTTCTCTTTCATAAATTCTGTAATGGAGGAGTCACTTCCCCACAAGGTTCCCTCCATTTCTACAACAGAAACCAATTCCTCTCAGTTAGTGAGAAGTAGATCCAGAATACAATGTGGATTTATTGATTTGTCTGTCTTTTAATGGATGAAATTAGCAGAGGGAGAACTCCAGGCAACCTTTGGTAATTGTTTCTCCGTCACTATGCTGTTGGACTTCAAGCCTGGGATTTTTATCTCAATTTTTGTTTTTGTTCAATCCTTTCAATGCTATCTTTCCCTTTGTGAGCCCATTTAGGGTTTTCTTGGCAAAGATACTAGAGTATTTAGGAATTTCCTTCTCCAGCTCATTTTACAGATAAGAAACTGAGTCAAACAGGACTAAATTACTTGCCCAGGGTCATACAGAGAAAAAATATCTGAGGCCACATTTGAACTCAGGTCTTGTCAACTCCAGGCTCTGTGCTACATTTACTAGTTGTTCCCCAAATTTTGTATCCCAAACTCTTCATCTATTTCATCTTTCTGTATTTTTTCCTTTCATCTTTAACTGATTATTCTCTGAATCCTTCTAGCTCTTCTGTGTTTCTTAACTTCTGCTTTCCAGGGTTAGGATTACCATATTCTTTGAGTTTCTACACAATGCTGGTGCCTTACTGACCACACCCAGGGAACTTGAGATGATAGGCAGAGACTCAAGGGATCAGACTTCCATTTGGGAGCAACATTTCTGCCTCCATATAATATGAAAGTGAGCTTTGAGAACTATCCATCCATTTTTTGCTCTCTCCCCCTCTTCAGAGTTTCCTCTGCCTCACTTTTTTCTTCAGAGTATAGCATGGATGTGAGGAAAAGAGCTCCTACCTTACCCCCATATAAAGGTCAGTTAATGGTGACTTGCAGCAGAAGCACATGCCAAAGGCGGACATGCTTTCATATGGTCTGGGAGAGAGGTTCATGGGTCATATTCCTGAAGTCAAAGTCTTGTGATGAGCAGGAGGGATTTAGAATTCACTATGTATGATGCCACTGGAGTCCAACCTTCTTTCTAGGAAGGGAGACTTCCTGAGTAGCATCAACTTCAAAGTTGCCTTGAATGTATTAATGAATGAAATAAAGAATACAGAAGCATTTATTAAGACCATTATGTAGTAATAGCAATATTAAAAAGGCAAACAACTCTGAAAGTCTTAGAAACTCTTGAGCAACATTATGACCAACCACAATTCCTGAGGACTCAATGGATACACTGCCCACCATCTGATAAAGAGATGAAGGACTCAGGGTAAAGAATTATACATTTTTGTACCTGGCTAATGCAGGAATTTATTTTGCTTAACTATACATGTTTGCAACAAGAGTTTCATTTTTCTTGCTTTCTTAATTGGGAGGGATATGGTGAGTTTGGAGCGAGACAATGTAGATCTGAAAGTAAAATAAAGTTTCATTTAAAAAATGGGAAGAGCAATATGTATCAGAAACTCTGTGAAGCATTAGATATTGAAACATTACAATCAAGACAATCCTTCCCCTCAAGGAGCATACATCATCATAGGAGAGTGAGTACCTATAGGTCAATCCCATAGAGGAAGTGTGATTTTCTCAAGGAAGTTACAGATATGGTGACTGGCATCATAGGGTAATTGATTGTTATGTCATTTCCAGGAATGCTAGAGTGCTAATGTTGATAAGATTGCTGTTCCTCAACTAAAGGTTGAGAGAGAGTCAAGGGGAGAAGGGAACACACAAAGAAGTATGTTATGATGATGGCTGGGATGGGCTGGGCTGGGTGTGCTGGACCTGATTTGAGCTCGTCCTGATGCTCATTCCTTCACCCATTAGCAGCCCAGGGCCCAAAGTTTGAGGAAGCATTGGAACACAATGTCTGAGGTTTAGGCTGGATGTATCATCATCATCTTCATCACCATCATCATAATATTGTTATTATTATTCCTCAGATGAGAATTCTAAGGTTCACAGTGTTTAATGGAGCTTCCCATGGTCACACAAGTAGTAAGTGACAAAGTTGAGTATTGAACTAAAGTCTTCCTGATTCCAAGTCTATGTTTTGAATCAGATTTCAGTGGTTTTGCTACTACAAAGAATGCAAGAGCTTGTAAACTTCATTAAGGACTTCAATGTGACTTCTTTCTTCCTAGAAAATGCCAGATGATCCTCAGAGGTGCCCAAAGGGCTTCTAGATGACATCCTCTCTGGCAGCAACTCATCAGCCATGACACCCTCAAGGCAGCCTTTCTCAGCTTTCTCTTCCACAGAATTAGGATCACTGAGTGGCCAAAAGGATAGAGCAACATGATTGACATACCCAACATGGAAGTCAGCTTATTATTTTCCTTTGAGTTGCTCCCATAGCTGACAAAGAAACCCATATAGTACAACAAAAAGAGAATCAGGAAGGAAGATGCAGCTTTCATGGCTCAAACATGTGCTTCTGTGCTAGGGTCTCTGTGACCTGTGGCATTGAGTTGCATCCGTTGGGTATGCTTCCACAGGGAGAGAATGAATAGGGAGAAGGAGAAAGTAGACAGGGTAAAAGGAATAAGACTCAGAAGGCCAAAGAGAACCTGCAACATGAAGAAGATACTATTACTCACATGAACCTCCTCAGACACATTTCTCTCCTTTCCTCTACTAAAGAGGCCACTATAGTAAAAATACATTGTCTGCATCATTGGGAAGGCAATGGATAAATAGATAATCAAGGGCCCCGTAAGAAGCATGAAGACCATCCTGTCAATTCTCCTTTTCATCCAGTGGAAGAAGGGATTAGATAAGTTGGTGATCTTCAGGAAGAAGAAGATGCTGAGGATAGTGACAAACCAAATATTTGAACCATGAGTCAGTACCAAGAAGATATCAATCATTCTTACTTGGGTGGGTACATTAATAAAGGTAACAATTAAATAGCTATCCCATACTATAGTACAGGACTGTCCAATTCTGGAGATGGCCAAACTGACCAGGATGAGATCACTTGGTAGAAGTTTTTTCCTCTTGACCCTATCAATGCAATTCACCAAAGTAAGGAATCCATTTACCACAATGCCCAACAGAAATTCACCACTTGCCAGAGCCATAAAGATTTTCTCCCCACCACCTAGCATGGCAACAGAAAAGAGACCACTTAGATAGTTAGCAATATTCATAATAATTTTGATGCTGCTGCTATTGGATTAATGAGAATGAAATGAAAAGTCTTTCTGATGCTAGGTGATTCAGTGATTTTCTTCTCTGTCTTTAATAAAGTTTGTATCTTTGGCAAGAAAATGTATAGTCCCCTGTTAGACTATATTCATTAAGATATCTTTGTGCTCAGTTAAATCTGCCCAGCCAAGACACTCTATCTCTGTGTCATTTCTATTTCCTCTTCATAGGTGATCATAGAAAGGATTAGAGTACTATGTTAAGATGCAAATAGGGAGAGGTCATCTTTCAATATTTTCCTCTTTGTGTCTCAGCCTATTTTGTATCCAAACATGTGAGCTGTGTAAGATGAGCTTCACCCAATGATGTACATCATGGGAAATGTAATAAAGCCCTAAATATAGAGATCATGCTTCACCTCCATCATTTCCCACCATACTGAATATTGATGTTACCACTAGTTGTTTATAAAATCAAATTCACACTTGGTATTTCTGGTAAATCATACTCAGGTTTGAAAATTATACATGAATTGCAGTTTAATGAGCCACTAATCTGGGTACTTCATACTCAAAAGAAAAAACCTTTCTTTCAGTTTTCATGATAACTGAGGCAAAGCTGTACCCCATGTCACTTCTGCTATGAAGATATAGACTTAACATCAGGCAGGAAAGTAGAAAGTATTTGTTAACCACTATCTTTTCATTGAGTTCTGTAAACAGTTAGAGAAAAGATGATAGTACTTCATATTTATCTAGTGTCTTGTCTTCTAGTGTTCTTTTTTTTTGTAGTAACCTTTGGAGGTATGAATTCAAGGTTACTTACCCCTCTTTTTAGGGATAAAGAAACAGGTTTAGAGAGGTGAAATGATATATCCAGCTATCACAGAATCAAGAGTCTGAACCAGAATTTTGACCCAGGTGTATGTTGATGGACAGCCAACTAGTAAAAGTAATCACCTACTTAAAAACTTAAAAATCATCTACTTAAAAATACTGATTTATTATAAATATAATATTGGACACCATTACCTTACTCAACTTTTCACTTCTTAAACCCACAGCTGGGGTGGGATACTTGGCAGTTGAGTTCAAGAAAAAAACCTCATTGTCCCATATCTTCCCAGGCAATCTTCAAACTCCTCCAAAGACAATTTAAATGGAAGTGGTTTAATTTTCTGGCATGGTGCTGGTAAACTGTCCAGGTTTCACAGGCCTACAACAGTGAGGTCAGTACAATGGCTTTGTCCTTGGTCCTAAGCTTTTTTTTTCTTCCAGCCAAAAACAAGGTTTATTAGAGCATCAGCGATGGGTGAGATGTAAAGAATCCACCACGTTGACCAGACTCTTAAGGACTCTAAGCATTTGTATGGCTAATGCAAGTGGGCCAGATCTTAAGAATCTGAGCACCTTAATGGAGGCCAGATGGTCCTTATATATAGAAAGACTGTGGGACTGATCTAGGAGTGCTCAAGTAATCTGTGGTGACTAGAGGAAGGGTCTCAGGAAAATCACTCAGGAGTGGCCAGTAAGATGGGGTGACTGTAAGGAAACAGAATGCCAGGGACCTGGACCACTTGGTCAAGGGAGAATGGAGCTTAGATGGGATTAAGGGTGGGATGTGGCAGGGGGCCATAAGGAGGTAAGACAATGGAGGACTAGGCTAGGTTAAGGGTAACAGAGAATTTGGAGATTGATTATAGGTGATAAAGAAAGGCCAGTTGTTAAGATTATAGCCTCAGGTGAACACCAGAGATTTGGCCATGTGGGAAAGTCCAGGGCCTTTTCTTTTTGGGGTCCAGATCACAAACATATGGTCTTTTCCTTTTAGGGGTTCAGATCCCATCCCCATCATTCCTCCCTCAAACAAATGAGACCAAAATTCTTTTGGGGTAAGGGGTGAAGGTCTTGGCTTCTGAAACTGCTTCCTGCTGAGAAGGGGTGTAGAACTGTCCTTGCCTCAAAGGGTTCCCAAAGAGGAGGTTGACTGGAACCATAGGCTGCATCCAGGGGTGATAGTGGTACATTGACTGGTACCTGCTGTTTGCTACCAACTGTAGGTGAATGCCTTGTAGTCTTGAAGACAAAAATCTGACAGAAAAGACTGCAGGACCCAGATATAGGGAGAAATAAGTATAAGAGCCCCATTCAAATCATTTATATTTGACCTACAGGATTATCTAATCTTGTTACCTTTTCAAAAGTTTAAGTAACACTTTTGCAGGTAGAAGTTTTCCACCCTGAGTTCAATAGGTACACAACTTAATTTGCTAAGAGACCGACTTTCACTTCAATTATCACTGAAATTTTCCTCCCCAAATGAAACTGAAGATGTTTCTGACTTAATTTCAGTTGTTTGGGGATATTGAATGACTACACATTCAGGTCAAAAGAACAAGATCTCACACACTTACATTGTGCTTATATCTTTTGCTGTCTATTTGCTCTGATTATAGAAATTTGCCAACAATGTAGTGTCAAATCCACCTCATAGCCAGACTCAGGAATAACCAGGTGAGTGGCATTCCTTTTCAAAGGAACTTAATGGGGAAACTGAGCCAGAAGGATCCCATCTTAAACTGAGGCTAAAACCATCCTCTCAGTTTTTCCCAATGCCAACTTCCCACCAGTATAACATTCTTTCTGAGAAGTTAATGGCATTACTCTCAGATAGTAGATTATTGATTATTGATGGATTATTATTATCCATCAGACAACTCAAAACAAAATCATTTACAATCCCATGAGCTTTTGCCTCAAACACCAAGTTTCATTAATCACAACTTAGGAAAAACTTTTTCTGGATTTACATCTCACATTTAAATTTGTTCTAGTGTAAAAAGCCAATTGTTAGATATTATTTCCATGTACTTGCAAATTCTCAGCAAGCCATAACCCAAACATGCTTTTTGACAACTTTACACATTAAAACAATAAGAAAATATCCAAATTGTTGTAGCAGTAATCAATTATGAAAAGCTGCATGACATAACTGATACAAAAAGTTTACCAATTTGAAACATGAAACAAACCCATTACCAATCAGATAACTGAAGCTTTGTTAAACTCATTTCCAAATTACTTTACACAGAGAATCAACATCTCATCATTAACAGTTAAAAATACAACTTTAGGGCAGAGCCAAGATGGTGTAGTAAAAGCAATGACTTGCTTGAGCTCTCCCCCAAACCCCTCCAAATACCTGTAAAAATGTCTGTAAACAAATTCTAGAGCAGCAAAACCCACAAAAAGACAGAGTGATACAAATTTCCAGCCCAAGACAACCTGGATGGTTGATTGGAAAGGTCTATTATACCAGACTGGGAGAGGAATTCAGTTCAGTGTGGGTGTGCAGGTGAAGAACAGGCCTCAGTGAACTTGGAGCAGGCCTTAGGGGACTGAATCATGAGCAGCTGTGGAGGTTTCCAGGCTTCTCAACCCACAAACACCAAAGACAACTTAGAAGGTCAGTAGGAAAGGTCTGTGACCACAGTGAGAGAGAAACTCAGTTTCAGCCCCAGTCTAGAAACAGTCCCAGATGATGGCTCCTTCCAGAGTTTCCAGTCTACAGACTAAGAGAGAATTGAGTGGCTGATCAGAGGGGGATTTCAGGGATCTCTTTGCTGATACTGAGGCAGGAATCCCTTGCTTTACCTGTGCTTAGATCTGGGTCACAGTCCTGAATGGTGGTCCTGGGGCAAGGAGGAGTGCTGACATGGTGAAACTTGTACTGGAGGTGGAAAAGAAATCCTCCTCACAGTTCCAAGGCAGAAAAGAGCGCTTGTGATCACTCATAGAGCAAAGTGCAGCCCAGGAAAGGAGCAAATACCTAGCCCTTGATTGTACCACCTTGGAAGAATGGAAAATTTATAAGTTCCTAGAAGTATCTGAAAACAGCTGCACAAAACCCCCGAAGCTTGGAACACTACATTCTCCACACTGGAAGCAGACCCCTCCCTTAACAAAGAGTTTAAAACTCAAGTAATTGGCTGGGATCATGAGCAATCAAAGGCATAAAAAAGTTAGACCACAGAATCTTTCTTTGATAACAAAGAAGATCAAAACATAAAACCAGAAGAAGACAACAAAGTCAAAGCTCCTACATCCAAAGCCTCCAAGAAAAATATGAATCATTGCAAGGCCATGGAAGAGCTCAAAAAGGAGTTTGAGAAACAAGTAAGAGAAGTATAGGAAAAACTGAGAGTGATGCAAGAAAATCATGAAAAACAAGTCAACAGCTTGCTAAAGGAGACCCAAAAAATGCTGAAGAAAATAACACCTTAAAAAATAGCCTAACCCAAATGGCAAAAGAAGTCTGAAAAGCCAAAGAGGAAAAGAATGCCTTAAAAAGCAGAATTGGCCAGATAGAAAAGAAAGTCCTAAAGTTCACTGAAGAAAATACTTCCTTAAAAATTAGAACTGAGCAATTGAAAGCTAGTGACTTTATGAGAAATCAAGATATTGTAAAACAAATCCAAAAGAATGAAAAAAATAAAAGACAATGTGAAATATCTCATTGGAAAAACAACTGACTTGGAAAATAGATCCAGGAGAGATAATTTTAAAAAAAATTGGACTATCTGAAAGCCATGATCAAAAAAACAGCCTTGATATCATCTTTCAAGAAATTATCAAGCAAAACTGCCCTGATATTCTAGAACCAGAAGGTAAAATAGAAATTAAAAAAATCCACCAATCACCTCCTGAAAGATCCCCAAAGGAAAACCCCTAGGAATATTGTAGCCAAATTCTAGAGTTCCCAGGTCAAGGAGAAAATATTGCAAGTAGCCAGAAAGAAACAATTCAAGTATTGTGGAAACACAATCAGGGTAACACAAGATTTAGCAGCTGCTACATTAAGGAACCACAGGGCTTGGAATATAATATTCGGGGGGTGGGGGGAGGAGATACGATTACAGCCAAGAATCACCTGTCTAGCAAAACTGAGTATAATACTTCAG